TCCCTACTTGTCTCTCTTCCTCTCCTTTTTACTCTCTCCTTCGTCAATCTTATACGTCATTTCGCTTATCATCCATTCGCACATTTACACATCATCCAATTCTTAATTTTCATAACGAACATAACCCCTTTATTTCTATCATTATATTTATTCATATTTCTATATATCTTTAAACATATTTCTTCAAATTTCAATAATTTTATATATAATATTTTATCTTCCTCCCTCCCTTTTTCACAACTTGTGTACAATGTGCTGGATGATGAAAATCGCATCACTTACTTTCTGCCAGAAGGAGGGCGGGCTGGCCCTCGGCAACGAAATCGTGATCTCTTGTCTGTTGCGAACTACGAACTGCAAGTATAGAAAGTATCACAAAATCCGTTTTCTCAAACGTTTAAACGGCAATGATCGGCAAGAACGGCACGTTACGTGCGTGTTAGGCTAGACACATAATTGCGCGAGCAGGACGTTAAGATATTGGCCGGGCAATATAGAGATAGAGATAGATAGAGAGACAGAGAGACAGAGAGACAGAGAGAGAGAGAGAGACAGAGAGAGAAAGAGAGACGTAAGGAATTTAGTCGACGGCAGCGACGATGTTGGTTGGTGTCTCTCTGGCCGCAAAAAAATTTTATTGGTGACATGTCAATTTCTACATGTGGGAAGATACAATCAATAATTACGGTAATTGATGATAAATGAGATGTTTGATCGCGTAGTAACATTAGTATATACATAAATACATTTATACATTATGCATGCATAAATAGTATAGTTTATACTATAAGATAATTCTAAAGGTTACTGACAAACTTCAGGAGCGTATAGAGGGGTTGGAATATTAGCAACTTTCGATTAGAAACCCATGTTCTTCGAAGTAATCCTGAGTCTGTACAAGTCTGACTTGACGTCTCTTGATTACTTCTTTTGGGTGCATATCAAAAGTCTCATTTACGAGATAATAGTGGACACTTGTAACCAGAATACTTGCAGCATCTGATGTGGTCCGGCAGATGCTTGGAGTATTTGAAAGAGTGCGCCAGAGTTCGACGATGTAATGCCTGCATTGCATATAGTGGTTGCTATTTCGAACACCTTTTGGTCGTGTTCCGATATTCACTGCCAGTACTGAAAATCTATAGTTTACGTCACATATACTATAGATTTTCAGTACTGGCAGTGAATATCGGAACACGGCCTTTGCAATACTGTATAGTATTATTGTGTTCGTGTAACCTTTGCTTAGTTATTATCATTTTGTACAAATTGGGATTATTTCTCTTATTGGTATATTATCCACAATGTAGTTCCTTACATTCAAAGACTTGTACCGAGTTGGGGTTACTTGGGAAAACATGGGTCCCTAGTTGAAAGTTGCTATATTCCGACCCTTCTATACACTCCTGAAGTTTGTCAATAACCTGAAGCTTGTCAATAACTTTTATAATCACCCTATAGATAGTAGAGTCCTAGATTATCAGAGAGGCACCAACTCTACCCCCACCATGCCCACCGCCGCCATCTTAAGACACAAACGTCAGTAGTGCTTACATATATATATATATATATATATATATATATATATATATATATATATATATATATATATATATATATATATATATATATATTTACCAGAAATTTTTAATCTCTTTGGCCTGATTGGTCAATCAAACGCTTCGAAGCATTTCTAGCGTCTTTCCGACTGCAGTCAATATTATGATTTAAATATACGTTAGGCACCGATATACCCGTATCAGACTACGCATTGAAAATCGAAGATTGAAGATTAAAGGTTGGAATTTGACTAATCAGAACAAAAGGGACTAAAATTTCTTTGTCCTGATTGGCCAAATTTCAATCTTGAATCTTGAATCTCAATCTTCAATGCGTAGTCTGATACGGACTTTAGGGGTGCGTTCCGTTTCACGCATTGAGCGCATAGATCGCCTGGAAATCTATAGTTCACGTAACATATATTATATGGGTGCGGAACGCACCCTAGATGGGGCTAGTAATTTCATACGTATAGTAAGGTTATACATATATAAGAAGGTTAAGTCATGAGCCTCGATTACCCATAATGCAATGCAAAGAATCGATGTGTGAGCCAATAACAGTCTACCTTATTTAGCATCTCTTTTCAATAGCGACTGCTTACCTGCTAGTATGCGGAGGCACACACTTCACGGCGCGCGGCTCACCGACGTGCGCCCGTCTAAAGATCGGCGCTGATTGGCCAGACTTTACTCAATAATAACTTCTTTATTAAGCGTTATAAAAAAAATGGCTCAGGACTTTTCGTCTCAGTTTTTGATAAGGAATAACGCTATGTACTTAGTGGACGGTCATTGCGGGTCACCCTGTATATATATACCCAGTCAGCCACATCTATTTAAACAAATATTGCCAAGTGCCTGCTACAAATAATAGTCAGCAAAAGGACTACAAATTTAGTACAAGAGTTGTTATGACTGATTAAGCTGGCAGATTGGCAGCAAAAACCGAACAGAATCTGCAAATTAACTATTATTTAAAATAGTACAGTTCAGTCGCTTACCGTTATACGGCGCGTTATTCACTATCTATACCCGTATTCAAGTTTCTGTCATGAGTGTATATAAAGTCTGCAAAATGCGGTTAATAATTGTAATATATCTATTTCCATCAATTCAATTTTTGACATGATTTCCATACAGAGAATTCAGATATTTTGAACTGATTTTTGGAAAATTGGACAGATAATCGTTGGATTTTCACTTATTTAGACAATTGTTGTCCGAAAAAACCTTTAATATAATAAATTAAATTATTTAAATTTACTTATATGTTTTAACACATTAATATATGTTATTATTACATTAATATTGTAATTGGTCTTATTTTTGCCGTCAAAAGAACATCAGAAAACAATTTCCCATGTATGTGACATATGACATCATTTTCGGGTCTCATGAGAGCTAACTTAGGATATCTAATTGGTCATTTTGTGACCAAAATTTATCGTCATTTTGCTACTTAGGACTGAGACTTTAAATCCATTTAAATGTACCATTTTATATAAATGGCCAAAAGCTACAGATTTTGTTCAGTTTTTGCTGCCAATCTGGCGTCAGATTGCCCTGCGCAGATCTTGCTCGATTTCTGCCGCCAATTTCTTGTGATGATGTGGAGTTGATCTTCACCATCGACATATAGAATGGAATGCTGATGGCCCAGAAGAGGTAACCGCACGAGTAGAGTGAGAGGCAGATAATATGAGGTCACTTCCGTCTCTTTCTAATAAAGCCTGATTAGTTGGCAAAAAATCAGCAGCACTGCTGATCCAATCAGACTTTATTAGAAAGAGACGGAAGTGACTTCATATTATCTGCTTCTCACTCTATTCGTGCGGTTCTCCTTCCACTGCCATTAGTAGTCCATTCTGTATGTCGATGGTCTTGACTTAATCTCTCTCATATGTATTCTATGTTTTTCTATAAAAATTTCAGGATCAGATGGAAGATCTTCCTCAATGAAAAATTCTCCAGGAATTCTTAATACAGATCCATAAAGCATTTCCGCTGGGGATACATTTAAATCCTCTTTAAAGCAAGTGTCCAAGTCCAAGTAAAACAGTTGGTAAGATTTCAATCCAATTTTCATTTGCGTGACACATATAATAGCACATATAAGTACTTTTCAATGTACGATGCCATCGTTCCAGGATGCCATTGGAAGCTGGATAATATGCTGAGGTTCTGATTTGTTCGCTACCTATTAGGTTGGTGAGAGTTTTGAATAATGCAGCTTCAAACTGAGGATCTTGATCAGTTGAAATCGTTTGAGGAGCACCATACCTCGCAACCCAGTGCGTATAAAAGACTGTGGTAACAGTCTCTGCTAAAATTTTAGTTAAAGGCCCCAGATAGCCAAAGCTTCCTTGGCATAAGAAAGGAAATGGTATATAAAAAGCAGCGATCAGTCAAAAAGTAGACGCGAGCAACATGACTCCGTAGTGGAGGAGATATGCACTTTTAATTTTTTATATTAATTTCTAAGTTTTAATTTTTTTATCAATTTTTTATTTTGTTTTCTGTGTTTTGTATTTTTGGATATATTTTTTCTTTTCATATTGGAAATAAATAAATTTTATATATATAGCATAAATTTTTATTTAGTTAGCGCAACTTTTTAATATTATTATTTTGTAAGAAATTAAAACAGCTATTTTGTACAACTGTTTTCGGTTAAAATATTTGTTTAATTTTTATTTTCAGTTGGCGCAAGTTGTTGATATCATTATTTTTGTAGGATATATTTGTACCATTTTTTGGGGTTAAAATATTTTTATAAGTTTTTATTTTCAATAATTTAAAATAACACTATTTCATAAATATACATAAATACAGTTTTTCACAAGTGGCGCGTGTACTTGGCGCCTTTTTTTACCTTTTTTTTTTAAATAAGTTTTTAGGGATATCATTCCTTTTTGTAGTATATATTAACCATCTTTAAATAAATACAAATATACAATGGTATTATTAACAATAATAAATTTGTAGCAAATCTCTATAGAGCCAAATAAATCGAAAAGGTTTCGTAAATATTCTTTAGGTTTTTTTCCACTATCCAAATAATAAATTTTTTTTCGATAATGATTTTAAGATAAATCATTTAATCTCACTGCATTCGATGTGAAAAAAAGAGTGAACGTATATTATAATACATACATACATACATACATATATACATACATACATATATACAGGGTGGCTCTGAACGTTCTAGCCAGACTTTGAGATCTTATAGGAAATTTAATTCTTTAATTCTAATTTCCTATAAACATGGGTCGAAAAATGTTTTCTTAAGAAGTTATCGCTCAAAAACCTTTGAAATCGTGATTATTTTACACATTTTTCCAAATATCATGGAAAATGTGCGTCTTTTAACAAAAAGTACCGAAACAAAAGTTGTAGAAAATTACATTATCTTTCAAATGAGATCAAAATGATTGTTGTACGTTCCATAGATTTTGATATAACCAGTTTCAAACGTACAAAAGGTGCTTTTGTTACTTATTGTTAGATGCGTTAGATCAGTTTAAAAAAATTTATTTTATTTTCATAAAAGAAAAAGATTTTTATTTTTATTGTTTTTTTTCAAGAAATTTATTAAGTTTTATTTTCTTTTTATTTCATTTTCTCT